AGAGAGAGAGAGAGAGAGAGAGAGAGAGAGAGAGAGAGAGAGAGAGAGAGAGAGAGAGAGAGCCTGACACGTGGCACTTCGTGCAACGGTACCATATCGACGACGACGGGGCAGCTTTCTGACGGCGGCCAGCGACGACGAGCTGGGAAACGGGCAGCGACGGCGGGCAGCGACGGCGGGCAGCGGCGGCGGGCAGTGACGACGGGCATCGACGACGGGCACCTCGGCGAAGGCGGGCAGCCACGGGAACCTCTTCGGTGGGCAGCGGCGGGAACCTCCTCGGCGGGCAGCACGAACTCACGTTCGAATTCGAAGGCCGCCCGACCAAATGTGGAATCGGCGGAATAATTTGCGCGAGGGGGCGGGGAGGCTCCCAAGAGCGAAAAAGCATCGAAAAAGGCCTCCCCGCCCTCCCGCGCGAAAATGCGCTGGGCCCGCCCGGCGTCAAACCGGGGGACCCAACCGGCCGGGCCGCCCGGGACCCCTGCTGGACAGAGGCTGGGCCGCCGGGCGGCCCGGAGTTTAACACAGAAAAAAACTCTTTTTTTAAGTTGTTTTCGTGCTTTTAATTGCTAAAAATGGAGTTGTCCGGGTCCGGATGTCCGGGACCCCCCTGACTGTCCGGCCAGGATGTCCTCCCATCGGACAACTGGTAACATAGCCTTTTTTATTGTCATTATAGTCTTACGGAGAACCCCGTAGCACCCACATCCGTGGTCAAGCCTCCAACGAGGGAACATGCGGGAGCTGCACCACCAGCAGGTGCGATACCTGCTACAGCAGGTGGACGATACCGGCCAGGGGTTAGCCGGTAGCATCAGGACCGAGCTTCTTCGATGGGCCAGTCGCTGTGCCTCCCCTCCGGTCCCGTCCCCCTATGAACATCAGCAGTCTCTTCTCAATGCCACTCGGGGGGACCAATGGCCTATCTCTAGGTGGTGGGCAGCAAGCTTGCCCAGGAAGGTACATAAGGTCAATGGGGACTGAACCCAAGACCTCCTGAATGCCACTTGCATGCCTTACCAACTGAGCTAGGCCACTGGATTCCCTTGCTTTTCTACTGCCTCATGCGGGAGGGGGAAAAAATGAAAATGCGATCTCCAGGGGGGATGTCCCACCAGCAAGGAGGATTTCATTGAATGCCTGAATCTGGACACGTTTGTGGAGAGGTGCAGAAAATCGGGACTGATCTGCTTTTCTGCATCTCTGCATGAAACACATCCAGATTCAGGCACTTAATCCAATCCATTTCGCTACTGGGACATCACCCCAGAGGTCTGTAGCATCAGATTCGCACCAAATGACCTTGCTCCACTCCACAATGCTCTGAATGAACGAGGACCTGGCAGTGGTGTATAATACTATATGTACACTTAGAATATTGATCCCGTCAAAAAGTACACGATTGACAAAACAGTCCCAAGAATCTGGTTACATTAGCGGAGCCAGACCCTCTCTTCATCTGTTTTTTTTTTTTTTTTTTTTTTTTTTTTTTTTTTTAGAAAGAATAGCATCCTTTTTCATATATAGAGCAAAACGAGGCCGGGAATCCCTCTGCATCTCAACTGAGAGCCAAAGTCTTCAGATTAGATCCATTTCCTAAGAAGGGTCCCGTGTCCCTTTCTCCTGTCCATCTACATGCTATTCCTGAACAAAGACAAAACTGGATTAACAAAAGACAAATAGCAATAAACGAAAGAANATCTACATGCTATTCCTGAACAAAGACAAAACTGGATTAACAAAAGACAAATAGCAATAAACGAAAGAACCTGCCAACTTGGCCCTAGGTTGCATTTAGGAGCCGAAAGAACTGACAATCGTACCCCCAGGATGCACTTAAGAAATAAAAGGGGTGGAATGAAATGGAATAACTGAAGCCCCTGCGGAGTGCCCCAACATGCTACACCCTAGAACATGCTGTCATTTAATTCTCAAAAAGCTCGTTAAGTAGTATCTTTTACTTAAACCCTAAACCCTTTTTTCTTCTTGCTAAATGCTTCCTACCCTATCTGCTTTCCATTTTCGGAATAATTTGAAGCTTATCCTCGTACTTCTACATCCTCAAATCCGTTAAATATTCTTGTACATCCTACAATACCTTAAATAGAATACCTTTCCCTATCCAAACTTAAGCTACTTGAATTACTGGTGAGAAGCAATTTGGTGGTCCCTTCCTCTCCACGTAAACTGTAGCCTGGTGTCATGTATAGCTGCCACCTCTCCCTGGCCCAGCACCCTTTGTGTGAGTTGGGCCTTCAACTGCTGCCCCTGATCCGGGCACTGGTGGATCTGTCTCTGTATTCATTTCCATTGTGCCCAGAGATCTGTTTCTACTATCTAGTAAATTGTAGAGGACCCTGCATGCTTCTTGCTGGTGCATTGGCCTCTTCTCAATGGTTATCTGACAACGTCTCTTCCATATTGCCCATAGGGTATACTGCCTTATTAGCCGGAATATGGTCTTCTCATATGGTTGCCAGTTTCTTGGCAAGTCATGGCCTAGGAGTATGGTTGCTTTGCTCTCAGGGAATGCTGACGCCGTGATTTGTTCCCAAAGGGACGTGGCTTTCTCCCATACGGCCGCTGCCTCGGAGCATGTTAGAAGACAATGTAGCATTGTTTCTGGGTCTCTCTCTTGACAGACTATACACTGTGCGTTAGCTGGATCTCTCTGTGCTCGGCTCCTGTGATTTTAACCAGTCGTTTACCGACAGTGCTACGGGGGCGATTAGCCACTGCAAGCTTCTGACCCTTCCGATGCGTATCGTGTTGATCTGTGTCCATGGTATTTCGGGTAGCTGTTCCGGTGTAACTCCCACTTTGTTTCCCATCGCTTGGACAGGGAAGGTGCTAATGGATGCAACCTTCTTCTCAGTCTGTAGCCAATTCTCTTAGAAAGCTGATTCTTCTGGCCACCCCAGTTCTTCCTCCTCGAAGATTCCATGCCCATTCTGTGGGGTCCATCTTCAAATCCACCAAAGGCTTGGTTGGGCTGTAGATTGTGAAATTGTCAGGTTCTACCACCCTTACTTTGCGCAGAAAGACTTTTGAAGCCTGATTGCAGAGGACTTACCTACGAGGGTTCACG